CCGCTGCTGTGTCCCCCCCCCGGTCCCTCCCGGCAGCTGCCGCTCCGGCCCGGTGGGTGCGGGCTGCGGGGCCGGGCTCTCGGCGGCAGGAGCCCGTTTTACCGGGAGGTGCTCGGTGCCAGGCGGTGGTGGAGCAGTGCCCGGTGCCCGGCGGTGGCATCAGGTGTCCCCTGTGCCCCGGCTGGCCCTCCCTGGGGCTGCCGCAGTGGGAGTGGGCACCGGGGGTCCCACACGGCCCCCTGACACCTCCCGTGTAGTGACAGAGCTGGTGCCCGACCCTGGCATCCTGCTCCCCTGTGTGCCCGGGGACGGGGGCCACTGGGGCAACAGCCTGGCTGGCCCCGGCAGCCCCCTCACGTTGCTCTGAGGATGGCTGCCCGGGAGGGGTCCCTCTCCCCAGGCTGGGGGCTGGAAATCCCCGCTCCGGAGCTTTGTGAGCCGGGCAGGAAGAGCTGGGCACGGCGGCGGGTTCATGGTCTGGGTGTGGAGTTCGCAGCCTCAGCCCCTCCCGGCCGGGCTGACTGTGCTGGCAGCTCTGGGGGCGCCTGGGAGGTGCCCGGGCTCTTTGGTAGCCCTTTCCCCACAAGGAAGCCATCTGGGCACCCAGGTCCGGGGCTCCAGCTGCCCTTCCCGAGCTGTGGGCACTGCTGCCAGCCTCGGCTCTCCCGCAGCGGCGCTGGAGTTTCCATCTTCTCCCTCACCCGCTCCCGTTTGTCTCCATCTCCCCCTGCCAGCGTGGGGTGGCGAGTGGGGGGTCAGGGAAGGATGGGGGAGGCCCCTGGTGCTGCTGTGGCCCCCGGGGTCGTGTTTGGCATCGCCCCAGCCCGTGGGATCTCCTCTTGCTGCTTCGCAGGGTCGAGTGTGAGTGCCAGAAGGGCCCGGGCAGGGACACGCGGGGTGTCCCCTGGCACAGCCCGGCTGCTCCGCGCTCGATGGGTGCGGGAGCGCTGTGCCCTCACGGCTGAGGCACGGGCACCCCCCGAGGATGGGGTACCCCCGAGGTGGGGGGTGCGTGGATCCTCCCGTGGCGGGTGGGACCGCTCTGTGCGGGGCTGTGCCCACGGGCGACCACAGCCCAAAGCCAGGACACGGCTTCCAGGGAGCTTGGTGCCAGGGGGTGGAATCAGGGTCGTGGGGTGTTGTAAAGGAAAAATGGGCTTGAAAGAGCCTTTAGACAAATCCACGCAGGATAAACCCACCGGTGCCAGAGGCGTGGTGGCCCGCGTGATGCTTCCAGAGGTGTCCTGCAGCCCAAGGGTTTGCTCCATCCCCATGGAGCTGGGGCCGGGCTGGGACCCCCACCTGCTTCTGGCCCAACCAAAACCGGGCACATGGGAGGGAGTCGGGGGGGACACCGGGGGTCCGAGGTGGGTGCTGACTCCGCTTTGGGGCAGGGTGAGTCCCTGCTTTGGAGGGGAGTGACTCCAGCACGGCATCGGCAGGATCTGTCCCCCTCCTCCCAAACCCTCCCTCCCATCTTCAGCCGTTGAACAAACCTCAGACGCAGCGAACGAGAGCGTGAACCCAAATACGCGTCAGAAGAGGCTGGTTTGCAGAGGCGGAAATTGCAAAGGAATCACTCACCAAAAAAAAAAAAAAAAAAAAGACTCAGAGTCACACATCATCCCCCTGTGACAGACTTTACCAAACAGTGTGTGGGAGGTGTCTTCATGCATTTCAATGCAAAAAAAAAAAAAAAAAAAAAAATTAATAAAAAATATAACTGATTCTCTGGTGGGGTTAAGGAACAAACAGGCTTTTGACTCAGAGGGATCCGGTGCCGCCGGGCTGGCCCCGTCCCAAGGGCTGTGTCAAGTGCCCTGTTCTCCAGCTGGTGCCTTGGATGCTCCTCGCTGAGGTTGGGGGTGTCGGGCCCCACTCGCCGTGGGGACGGTCCCTGTCCCCTCCGTGGGGCTGTTGGCCCACACTGGGGGCGTCCAGCCCTCACGGCACAGGCACCCACCAGCATGGAGCCCCCCACTCTGTGGGGATGGGCAGTGATGCGGGGAGGGCAGGGTGGGGGGGGGTCAGCTGCAAGCCCAATGGGCTTGCAGCTGCTCGGCAGTGGTGCGGGGAGGGCAGGGTGGGGGGGGGGCAGCTGCAAGCCCAATGGGCTTGCAGCTGACCCCCCCCCACCCTGCCCTCCCCGCATCACTGCCCAGAGCATCGCTTGTGAGTGCTGGGATAACTGGTGCATCCCTGCGGTGCCAACCCTGGGTTTGTAGCCTGTTGGCCAGGGGAGCTGGGCTACCAGCAGCCCAGGGTGCTGGGGTGGCAGTGTGGGCACGGAGATGGAGACAGGGGGGGTCCCCATGGGGACATCTGCTCTGGGACAGCCCTTGTGCCACAGGAGAGAGGGGTCCCCAGGCACTGGTGTGGTCCCTGTGGTGGGGGTCTCGCTGTCCTTCGCGCGGTGGCCCCTCACCCTCTGCCCTCCCCGCAGGTGGGATCTGCTGGCTGCAGCAGGGGAAGGAGGCCAAGTGCACCATGATCCTGAAGACAGGCGTGACGTGGGAGGAATGCTGTGCCAACGGCAACGTGGACGTGGCTTGGTCGAACTACACCTACCCCGGCAACAAGATCAGCCTGCTGGGCTTCCTGGGGCTGGTGACCTGCCACCCCTGCAAAGGTGAGGGCGGCCGTGGTGGCCAGTGGGCTGCTGTGGGGCTGAGCTCTGCTCAGGGAGGATGCTTGGAGGCCTGGGGGGATGCTCAGAGCCCGCAGCCCCGGGTGAAGTGGCAGCGATGGGGCTGGGCTGCCCCACAGCAGGCTCTCCGGTGCCCGCCTGGGCTGTGTGGGGCAGCACAGGGACCCCAGGGACCACCGACCCCGTGCTGCTGCAGCTCCAGGACGGCTGCTGCCGTGGGGCCAGGGCTCTCGGGGCAGACTCCATCCCTGGCAGCTCTCGTTTTGTGTGTATTTCTGTTGTTCCCCTGCGGAGTGGGATGCGTGACCTGGGCCTTGGCTGGGCTCCCCGAGTGCGAGGAGCTGAGCTGGGGCTCCCCGTTCCCCGCTTAACTCTGCCGTGGCCTCCCCCGCCGCCCTCGCCAGCTCTGCTCAGAGGGAAACTTCTTAAGTGGTTTTTTTTTTAAGGGAAAAAAAGATCTATTTCTTCCCCTCTGCTCCCCCTTCCTCCTCCCAGCGTGTGTGTGAAACGGCTTTATGTAACGGGCAGTTCCAGAAGTGGAAACTCTCCAGCTGTGAGTTCCAGCCCCGCCAGATGTTTTGGCGTGCGCTGGAGGCGCGGATCCCCCAGTCGCACTTGCGTGGCCCTGTGAGAACATGCTGGAGGACCTGCTGACCGCAGTAGGCAGGAGCAGGTCTTTGGAAGGTCATGTCGTTATTTGCTTTAAGGGAAAAAAAAAGGTTCTTGACAAAACCACTTCTTCCAGCCTTTCTGCACTCCCTGGTGCTGCCGCACCGACTGCTCCTCGGCCCCGTCCTGGCTCAGCTTGGGGTTGCACCCTGTGCCATAGGCTGAGTGGGGTCCTGGCCCTGGCATTCTGCCCCATCTCCCCACGGCTGGTCCCACTCGGTGGGTGCCGGTGGCACCAGGACCCTCCCCAGGGGCTGGATGGGAGTGTGGGTCCCCCGTGCCCGGGGCTGAGTGCAGTGGGGACAGGCAGCTTCATCCCAGGGATCTGCCCTCACCTCTGTGGGGAGACTGGGGGACATGGGGGACTGCTGGTGGCCACAGACCCCAGTGGGGGCTGCAGCTCCTGGGGATCATTGGGGTCTGGGAGCAGGACCCTCGCTGAAAGGGCCGGGGAGCCCGGCCGGCACGTAGACTGTGACTCCCCACCCTTCAGAAAGCCCCTGCCTGTCCCATCCAGATGGAGCTGGTGCTGCTCCCCACCGGGCCCCGGCACGCCAGAGGCCTTGGAAAGGGCGGATGAGCCGTGCTGCGTCCCGGGGCGCGCGGGGCCGGCAGAGGTTACTCCAGGATAACGGGGGCCGCAGCCACCAGCCCCGCGCCAGCAGCCGGGCCCCACGGGAAGGTGCTGGCCGGGCCCCGGGGGCTCCGCAGCAGGTCTCTGATGGGGGGATGGAATTCCTGCTCCAGCTGCTGGGGACACTGTGTCCCCCCCGGGGACCCGGCACAGGGTGGGGAGCCAGGCTGCGGGGTCGGGGTCACGGGTGATGGTCCCACTGCCTGCCTCCCTGCTGGGACGGGATGGCCTGACCCTGCGCTGGTGGCCACCTCCCAGAGCAGAGGGCAACGAGGGCTCTGCTTGCTCCGGCAGCCCTGGGGCTGCCCCTCTGTCCCGGGGTTTCATCCCTGTGCATTTCCCCAGGGATGCTGCCGGGGCTCAGCCACCGCCGCTCTCCCCTTCCCTTGGACAGGACCCAGCTATGGAAATCAGGGAGCAAACCGGGAACTGTCTGTGTCCCACCAGGGAATTTCCCCTGGGGAGGGCCGGGCCAAGTAGACGGGGAATTTCCCCTTCCTCCTTTTCCCCCCCCCCCTGCTGTCTCCCAAAGTGACCCCTCTCCTGCGGGGAAATCCCCCTCTGAAGCTCCCAGCACACACCCTGTCTGTGGGAATCCCTCCTGATGGGGGAGTATCCCCATCTTGGGAAGATTCTGGGTCCTGCCCGACCTTCCTCCCTGCGGTGCCGATGGAGCCGTGTCCCTGTGCCAGAGGCAGTCCTGCACCCCCCAGCTCCCGGCATTGCCTGTGTCCTGGGGGGCAAAAGGGTCCCTGTGGGGCAAGGGCTGTGTGCGTGCTTTGCGGGGGTGAGGGGCTTCCAGCTGGAGACCCCATGCCTGCCCTGGTGTGGGTGCTGACCCCTTTGCCTCTCCCTGCGGGGCCACCCATGTCCGTGACCGGCCCCTCTGGGTCCCCGCTGGCGTGGGCACAGCCCTGGGGCGGCGCTGGCCGGACCCTCTGAACCCGGCCCCCGTGCTGGCCGGGGGGCGACCCAGGGGACAAAGCGGCCGCCTGTCTGGGGCTCTGCGCTCGCTGCCGCGTCCCGCTCTTGTGTTCAAGTCACGGAGGCCCCGAGCAAAACAGGGCTGGGTATTGTCTGGTGGGAGCCGCGCTCCGCATTGCCCAGACAACTTGCGAAGCCCAGTTCCTTCTGGAGGAGCTGGGGCCTTGCAGAGATAGATTTTTCCATTGCACAAGAAAAAGAAAGGTCTCCTTCCAAAAAATAAATCCATAGAAATGAGTGAGCTGGTGCTGCGCGGGGGCCGGGGCTCTGGCTGGGGCGGGCGCTGGATGAGCGTGTGGGGCTCCAGCCAACGACCTGCTCCTTGGCGGAGCTGAGCAGATCCAGATGCTGCTCGGGGCCGCGTGGCGTCAGCGTGTGCGTTGGGACCCCGGGAGGGATTTGGGACCCCGAGGGCTGATGCTGGCCCTGTCCTGCTCGGTGCCACCCGGGGTGCCAGCCAGGCTGGGCACACAGATCCTTCCCTTGTGGTGCTGCACACTCACATGCTGGTCCCCTCTGTCCCCAGAGAGCTGCGAGGGGGTGGTGTGTGGCCCTGACAAGGTCTGCAAGATGAAGCACGGGCGTCCCCAGTGCGCCTGCGCCCCCGACTGCTCCAGCCTGCCCCGCAAGCTGCAGGTCTGCGGCTCCGACGGCTACACCTACCGGGACGAGTGCGACCTGCTGACGGCCAAGTGCAGAGACCACCCCGACCTGGAAGTCATGTACCAGGGAAAATGCAAAAGTAGGTCCTGTTGTGCCCCCACCCTGTTTTATTCCATCCCCATCCCCTGTGCCTCCTGTGTCCCAGCTCCGTGTGGGATCGGTCCCAGCTGCACCCGCCTGTAAGGGGATGGATGGCAGTGTGGTCCTCGGGCTCTCCTGGCACACCGTGAGGGGCTCTGGTGTGGAGAGGAAGGGTCACCCTGCCATGGCCATGTTGTGCCAGAATGTCCAAGCACATCCTCCCCTTTCCCACTGGGGAAGCCGGTTGTCCCCTGTGGGCAGTGTGTCCCAGGGAGGAGCCATCCTGCCCCGAGCACTGGCAGCTCCACCAGCCTGTGCCTGGGGAGGGGACAGGGGGCTCTCTGCCCGGCGAGGGACATTGCTCCACAGCCAGCCTGGTGCTGACAGCCACCAGCAGCCCCTGACCCGTGGGGGAGTCGCGTCCCTCAGTGTCACCCTCACTGGCTGGCCCTGTCCCGGCCATCCCAGCGGGAACGTGGCAGTGGAGCCGCCTGTGATGCCAACACAGCCCCTCGGTGCCACGGGGGCTGAGCCTCGCTGCGGGCTGAGGAATAACAGTCCGTAAAATGTCACTTACAAACATCAAGCCCCCTTTTTTTTTTTGTTGTTTTGTTAAAGAGAGCAGCAATCCTCCCTGCCCTGCCAAGAACTGTCAGAATTATTATGATTATTTTTGCCAGCCCTCCTCTCTGAGATGCTTTGCCTGTCAAGCTCTGGACTGCACAGGGAAATGTGGGGCAAGAAACGCGAGTTGGGAGTTGCAGATGCCAAATCCCCTTCCAATCCGGCTGGGAAGGAGCGGGGGGCGGAGGGACGGCCTCGTGCAGTGTTTACGGTGTCGGGCAGCGCTGTGGGTCCTGCCGTGTCCCCAGCGCTGCCAGGGGGACGTGCCGGGATGGGGGGTCTGTGGGGCTGGCAGGCTGCGCAGACCCCAGGATTTGGGGGTCCCAGCAGAGCTCTGTGCGGGGCCCGATCCTGTTTGTGCAGCTCCTTCTGTCCCCTCTTCCAGGGCTGGGTCGGGTCCAGGGGACCCTCCCCTTCCCCTCTGGCCGGGGGCTGCCATGGCTACTGCTCCCCGTGCCAAGGCACCTGCGTGGGGCTGCTTGCCCCAGCCCGGTCCCGCTGTGCCGAGCCGGGCTCAGCCCACCCCACCCCCAGCATGACGAGGGTCTGGCCGGGGGGGGCTGCAGGGCCAGGCAGCCCCTCGTACCCGGGACACCAGCCCCGGCCACCTCCCGTCCTCAGGAGCAGCGGCCATGGGGGAGTTGGGACCCTCCACCCCCCGGCCGCGCTCTGTTCCCTGGTGGCTAAAGGCAGGAGGGGGCCTGGGCTGGCTGGGGGTCCCTGGGGCGATGCCCCCTGCCTGCCCGGATCGAGGGAGCCACAGGAGGATGGTGGCCGTCCCCAGCTCAGCCGTGGCCGTGTGTGCTTCCCTGCAGAGTCCTGCTCCAGCGTGGTGTGCCCTGGCACCCACACCTGCGTGGTGGACCAGACGGGCAGTGCCCACTGTGTGATGTGCCGGACGGCCCCCTGCCCCGAGCCCACCAGCCTGGACCGTGCCCTCTGCGGCAACAACAACGTCACCTACCCCTCGGCGTGCCACCTCCGGCGGGCCACTTGCCACCGCGGCCGCTCCATCGGCGTGCGCCACTACGGGAGCTGCTCAGGTGAGTGGGGCGTCCTGGGGGAGGGCAGTGGGCTCGGATGCCCAGCCCCCGGCCACCCCTCGTACCTCCCTCACCCCTTCTCCCCCTCTCCTGCTCCATTTCTAGCTGTGGCCAGATTCTCCTCGGAGTCGGACAACGCGGAAGAGAACTACGTGTGAATCCTCCCTCGCCGCGAGGCTGGACCCGGGAGAGACAGGGGCATTATGTGTATATTGTACAAACCATATACCTGATATTTATTAAGATAAAAAAGATCCTTATTTATACCCGTGTATGTTATGCAGTCGCAGAGGGCCTGACTCTTGGCCCTGCCAGCTGGGGAGGGGGCTCCCAGCCCGCGTGGCCGGGGTGATGCCGACCCCCCCGGGGATGCTCCGGTGCCCGGCAGAGCTCTCTGTTCCTACAGCCCCACGGCGCGGAGGGGGCGTCCGTGCTGCTGCGCCTTGGGCCCCCCCACGTGTCCTTGGCCGACAGCCCTGGGCCTATTTATTTTTGGATTGAATTCTTGGTACTCTGCTGACGTTTCTGGCCGGGACCTCGAGATCTAGAGGGAATCTGCGCTTTCGCCTTCCCCGGAGGGGCTCAGCCCCAGCTGCCAGCGGCAGGAAAGGCAGCAGGGGCTGCATCCCCGTGCAGAGAGAGAGAGATTTTTATATACATATATATAAAATATATATATATGTATGTTATTTTCTTTTCTCCTAAAGCTTTAGCATGTGTGTGTTAAAACATTGTTTTTTAGATTTTCCCGGGCGCATTCACACCAGGCTCCCACCCCCCTCTGGAGGCGATGCCGTGGCAGCCCAGCACCACCGTTCCCCAAGCCCCCCCAGCCCATTGCTGCTGCTGGTGCCCTCACCCAGAGCCCCCCACCCGGGGCCAGCCTGCCCAGAGCCCTCCCCGCTGGGGAAGCTGCCAGGGGAGAGGGGGGTCCGCAGCCCCCCCAGGCCTTCCCAGGGCCAGTGCTGGGCGCAGCAGCGCCTGGTGCCCCGGGACGGTGCTCGGCTCCCAGCCCCACTGCAGAGCTGCTGTGGGGGGCACAGCATGGTGGGGGGGGGACGGGAGGGGGCCCATGGCCCTACCTGCTCCCCCCCGGGGATCCCCAGCCCGGCTCCCTCTCGGCTGCGCAGCCCCTGCCCCCCTACACTCCCACCTCCTGCACCCCCTGCTCTGTCAACACCCTCTGTATTTATTTTTACTGCTTCTCTCATTTTGTGTGTTGTCACCTGTGTAAATACCATCTCATCTCTGACACCAAGAAGCTCTTGCCTTTATATAAATATCATATATATAATATATATATATATAAATACCCTATTTTCTATTTTTGTATGAGTGCGTTCTGATTCCCGAGGCAGACGCGATGGGAACGTATACATTTCCTGTTGGTGTTGTTAGGGGCATTTTACGGCTGTGTTACAATTTGGATTATAATTAAAAGAAGAATAAACGGTGCTGCAGGTCCTGTTTTTTTTGGTGAGTTCTAGGACCGCAGGAGGCAGCTGCATCTCCCGGGGCTGTGTCCTGGGGGGCTGCGCTGTGGGAAGCATCGCTGCCCACCCCCTGTGGGATCTGGGGGGCTGAGGGATGGGGGGACAGAGGGACACTGGGGGGGAGAGCCCCCGGCAGCAGGTGAGGGGCTCAGCCCCGCTCCCCCTGCGTTGGCTCCAGCTCGGCATTGGGGTTTTTCCTCTGCAGGGGAAGGAAAGTGGGGAGCAGGGACGAGCAGACACCAACCAGCGACACAGATGGATCTGTTCCCAATGTCGGGCCGTGCCGTGAGGGTTTGGTATTTCACAAAACAATTCCTGCCATTAATTGGGTCCTGATGTGCGATGCTGCCCCGGCGCGGGAGCCCAGGCGGCTGCCGGCGGCTTGGCACTGCCAGCCCCACGGGAGCTGCCCTGGTTCCCCCTCCCCGCATCCCCTGTGCCCGGGGGGCAGCCCTCGCACCCCGCCAACCCTCGTGTGGGTCGAACCCCCCTGGCCCGTGCCTGGCTCAGGACCTGCCACCCAGACAGCCTCTGGCACGGCCCCCACAGCAGCGAGGGGCTCCCGGGGCTGGGCTGGCACCGACAGAGACCCCGACGAAGAGGGGGCTGAGGCAGGGGAAGCCGAGTCGTTATGAAGGGGTGAGGGGGAAGGAGACCCTCGCTCCTGGCTGGCCCCTGGGCTCCCAGCCCCCCCCCCTGCAGACCAGGAGGGTGCTGAGCATCCCCCAGGATCCGGCCAGGGCTGCAGCCTGGCTTGAACCCGGGTGTCCTGTGTGCCCTGGAGCTGCAAAGGGCACGGTGGGCAGCGGCACCGCAACCCAGGGTGGGGGCTCTCCTGCAGCCCCTCTCTACCCACCCAGCTCAGCAATGCCCCCCCCAGCCCCTGCTTTTTGGGGATGGTGTGAAGGAGCTGCCAAAATGCTGACCAGGACTTTCCCTGCACCAGGGTTTGTTGCCCGTGGAGGTGTGTGGCCCGGCTTTCCCTACAGCCCGCCCGCAGCGCCTTCCTCCCCGAGGCCGCTCGCCATCCTCCGCCTGCCCCGGCCGGGGGGTTTGGCCCCCCCAGCTCCTGGCGTGCTGGGCCCGTGCCGAGCCCGCGGGCACCGGCTGCGGCGGCGACGTCAGCGCCCGCCGATGAGCGGGAGATTTCAGCTTCCCAAACACGGCCGTGAGTCAGGCGCCTCCTTCCCGCCGGATTTTGGGTGGTCTGGGACAAGCCGGGACAGGCGCCGGCTCCCCGGGCTCCCGGCAGCGCGCAGTAGCCCCGGGGCTGGCAGCCCTACCCCGGCATCCTGGGGGGCTCTGCCCCACGCCACCACGGCAGGAGCCCACGGGGGTTTGGGGTTCCCTTGGAGGCTGGCAGGGGTCTGTCCTTTGCTGGGTGTCCCCTGGTGTCCCCAAGGCCACCGGTGCCTGCGGCTGTGTCCCTCTGACCCCGTGCAAAGCCCCACAGCAGGGAGCCGGGATTGCGACCGGAGGGGATGTGGCAGCCAGTGTGGGGAGCACGGGGACCACAGATGTGAGGGTGGCTTCTGGGATCCTCTTGGCCTAACCCCGGCCCTCATCCTCCCGGCAGAGCCCCCGGGGGCGGCGAGGTGGCCCGTGCCGGATGCTGTGGTCGGCTGCAGCCTCCTGCAGGACCCCCGGGCGGGGAGGGCGGCTGCGCCCCGCGGCTGGCCAACAATTTGCAGAGAAAACAAACAACCAGGAGCAGGGAATGTCTGGATCTGTCCCCGGAGACGGCCACGACGCCAGGCAGAGCCACCTCCTGCATGTGCCTCTCAGCTGAGACCCGGCAGCAGCTCAGCACACGTACGGGCGCGGGCAGGTCCCAGCCCCTGCACCAGTGGCCACCCAGCTCCCTCTGGGGCGAGCGCCCGAGCGTGCCGGGGAGGGGGGTGAGGCTCTCGACGGGATCCCCACGGCTCTGCCAGCGCAGCCGGGGTGGCCGGGAGCCCATCTGCCCCCGGGGGGTGTCTGTGGTTCCCTGTTTGGGGGGTCCCGTAGCGCGGTGGGGAGGGTGCGGCGTGGGACGGGATGGGACAAGATGAGACGGGATGGGATGAGACAGGGTGGGATGTGATGGGATGGGAT